CACCTTCAGGTACAAGCTCTTCCTCCTCTGTGAGGGCAGATCTACACCCCCCCCCCAATAGCTAGCAATCTGAAACAGTCCAGTGGAGCCTGACCGGTGGGTGTTGCCTTCTGACACACTTTTGGTGATGTCAGGGGGTGTGGCACATGCAAATGAGTTATGCTAATGAGTTATGCTAATGAGCTCCTGCACCTCTTTTTCTACGAAATGACCCCTGCCTCTAAGCTGTGGAGTCTTGTGAGCAAAAATTCTACTTTCTGAGCCACTGGCATTAAAGTTGTGAGCGAGCGATTCGGCTGCTGCGTAAATTTGTTTGCTCTGGAGCCATCCCGTCCTGAGCTAAGATAAAAATGTGTGAGCCGGAGGCTAAAAAAACTGTGGGATAGCTCACACTAACTCAGCTTAGAGGGAACACTGACCACAGCCCAGACCTCCTGATGCCTCTCCTTGCGCCTTCGTATAGGTATTAAACAGCAAGGGGGAGAAGTTGTAACTTTGCAGGACCCCACAGGCAATGTTCCCTCTAAGCTGTGGAGTCCCGTGAGCAACAATTCCACTTTGTGAGCTACTGGCAGTAAAGTTCTGAGCAAGCGATTTAGCTACTGCATCAATCAGTTTGCTCTGGAGCCCTCCTTCCTGAGCTAAGACAAAAATGTGTGAGCTGGAGGCTAAAAAACTGTGAGCTGGCTCACACTAACTCAGCTTAGAGGGAACACTGCCCACAGGTCAACAGCCATGGGCCAGAGCAGGAATCCTCCCAACACAATCTTTGGAGACAAGCCCCCAGATAGAACTCGAAATGTGATGTTCTGCTTTGCCCCCTGTTCCTTCAGTGCCAGCACATAGGGATGTCGGCCTCCAGGTGGAACCAGGGGAACCAGACCTGGAAGTTGGCAACCCCAGGAGAGGCCCCAAAGACCAACCTCCCCTGTACCATCCTTTGGCCTCAGGCCTGTCTCAAGTGCAGACGTACTTGAAGCACCTCAGGGCCCGGCCGAACCTTTCAGCCTCGGAGCGGTATTGTGAGTTGGCGTTACATGTGACCAGGTGTTTCTCTTTGGGCACCTTGGTACCGGAAAATGGGCTTATAAACAGGGGTCATTTAGCAGAAAAAGAGGTGCAGGAGCTCATTAGCATAACTCATTAGCACAACTTATTTGCATAGGCCACACCCCCTGACATCACCGGAAGTGTGTCAGAAGGCAACACCCACCGCTCAGGCTCCACTGGACTCTTTTGGATTGCTCGCTATTTGGGGGGGGACACACACGTGCAGATCTGTCCTCGCAGAGGAGGGAGAGCTTGTACCTGAATAAAACTTGGTCTTAAAGGTGCCACTGGACTGTTTTGGACCGGGGGGCCGGGGGGGGCTCTCCAACTTACTTGGCTGCTTCTTGCTCTGACTGAGGGCTGCTGGGAGCAGGGGGTGGGGCTTGTTGCATGTGCCCGCCCCCCGGGCTCCTTACTGCCCGCTGTGCGCTCCGGCAGGAAATGACCCCTGCTTATAAATATTAATAACTGAAAGCCCCAGTGTAAAAAAAGGGTCAGAGAAGACTGCTAGTCCTCCTGGCTAAGGTGGAAGCCTCTCCTACGTGAGACCTCCGGAGGGTTCACTCAACCATGTTACACACACACCCGCCCCGGGCGATCTTCCTCATTTGCAAGAGGGGCCTTCGGCTTACCTGAGGAGAAGGGCACGAATGCATCGTTCTTCTTGAAGCTTCCGTCCGCATCCAGGAAATGTTCTGGGCTGAACTGTCTTGGATTTTTAAATTTCGTGGAGTCGTTCAAGACGGTGGTGAGTACTGGATAGACTTCCGTCCCCTGGGAAAGAGAGAGGTTTGGAAGCCGGACTTTCAAGGTTTCAGGGAGGATAAACCTTTGATACCAGAGCAAGGAAGACGGAGGGGTGAACCCCACATCCTCATTCCTCGGGGGGACAGTCAGTTTCTCCCCCCTCCCTGTTTCTGATGGGGTTTTTTGCCATCAAGTCTCGGCTGACTTATGGCAACCTCAAAGGGTCTTCAAGGCTAGAGACGTCCACTGGTGGGTTTGCCATTGCCTGCCTCTGCATAGCAACCCTGGACTTCCTTGTTGGTCTCTCATCCAAGTACCAACCAGGGCCGACCCTGCTTAGGTTCCAAGCTCTGACAAGATCAGGCTGGCCTGCGGTATCCGGGTCAGGACCCCTCCCTTCCTACAGCCCTGAATTCCTGCAGTGGTTGTAGTGGCCACCACAGAGGTCACTGACCCCAACCCCCAGGACTCCCAGTCATGTGACTCTGCCAGCTGGTCATTGGATTCCCAGGAATGTCACATGACTGTCTCAGCTGGCCTGCGGAAACATCCTGAGGGCCAGCTTTGGATGTGGTCAAGGCTTGGGTCTGAAGGAGGGAGAGAGGAAGGGTGGGAGATCTGTCCCAGAATGGGGAAGGAAGTATGACGTGAGGGACCGACATCTGGTGGCTGCACAGGTCGAAGGAATGCTTATTAAATTTGAGGTTGATACTAAATTGGGAGGGGTAGCAAATTCAGTAGAAGACGGAGTCAGGATACAGGCTGATCTTGACAGGCTGGAAAACTGGGCTAAAACAATTAAAATGAATTTCAATGGGGGTAAATGTAAAGTTCTACATTTAGGTAAGAAAAATCAAATGCATGATTATAGAACGGGGGAGGCTTTTCTGGGCAGTAGTATGTGCGAAAAGGACCGAGGGGCCTCAGTAGACTATACACTGAACATGAGTCAGCAGTGTGATGCGGTAGCTAAAAAGGCAAATGTGATACTGGGCTGCATCAGCAGAAGTATAGTGTCCACATCATGTGAAGTGATCGTATTGCTTTACTGTGCTCTGGTTAGACCTCACCTATTGTGTTCAGTTTTGGGCACAACACTTTAAGAAGGATATAGATAAGCCGGAACATGTCCAGAGGAGGGCAGCGAAGATGGTGAGGGGTCTGGAGACCAAGTCCTACGAGGGAAGGTTGAAGGAACTGGGTATGTTTAGCCTGGAGAGGAGACAACTGTGAGGTGATATGAGAACCATCTTCAAGTACTTGAAGGGCTGTCATCTAGAGGATGGTGTGGAGTGTCGGATCAGAACCAACAGGTTTAAATTAAATCAGAAGAGTTTTCAGCTAACCATTAGGAAGAAATTCCCGACCGTCAGTGGAACAGGCTTCCTCGGGAGGTGGTGGGCTCTCCTTCTTTGGAGGTTTTCAAACAGAGACTAGACGGCCATCTGACAGCAGTGCCAATTCTGCAAACTCAGGCAGGTCACGAGAAGGGAGGGCAGGAAGGGGTTGCCTCGGTGCTTAGTTCTCGTGGCCCTTTCTTACATGCCCAGGGAAATGCCAACCACCACTTTGAGGTCAGGAAGCCATTTTTCTCCAGGCCAGTTTGGCTGGAGATCCTGGAGGTTTTTTGTCATCTTCTGGGCATGGAACAGCGGTCACTGCAGGTGTGTGTGTGGGGGGAGGTATTTGTGAATTTCCTGCACTGAGCAGGGGATTGGACTAGATGACCCTGATTCTAAGTCAGCTCCTGAAAACTTCTGAAAACACGCACGTACACCGTTCCACATACCTTCGGGATGAGGTATCCTCTGAACTCGGTGTCTCGGGTGACCATGTGCGGTAAATTCATGGGAATGAGGTCACTCACTCTCTGCACTTCGTGGATGACGGCATCGGTGTACGGCATCTGGTTCCGGTCTTCGATGTTCGGGGCCCGGTTCTGGCCAATCACCCGGACTATTTCCTCGTGCATCTTTGCTGTTAAAACATATAATCAGGGGTCATTTAGTAGAAAAAGAGGTGCAGGAGCTCATTAGCATAACTCCTTAGCATAACTTATTTGCATATGGCACACCCCCTGACATCACTGGAAGTGTGTCAGAAGGCAACACCCACTGCTCCACTGGACTGTTTTGGATTGCTAGCTATTGGGGGGGGGGGACGGGCAGCTCTGCCCTCCC